CTCCCAAGAGGCCCCACAGGGAGGCATCGAGGCCAGGGCAGCGGCAGGGGTACCTTTTCCTCCTCTGAGCCCCACCCCCGACCCCGCAAGCCGCACAGAAGAGGCCGCTCCAGCGAGGGCTCACCCTTGCGCGCAGCCGGCGCAGGAGGCCCTCCTGGGGGCCGTCGGCAATGGGCCTCGCCAAGACCAGCCGCGCTGGGGGCACCGCGGGGCCGCGCCGGCGCCGTTCGGGAGAGATGCCCCGCATATGGGCCTCACGGCGGGCCCTCCGGCTCCTGCTGCGAGGCGGCCATGGAGATCCTCGTGGCTGGGGCTCCCGCAGCTGCTGCCGGCCCCCGTTCCCCCCCCCCCCCCTCATGGTGCTGCCTGAGCTGCGCTCGCAAATGGGCACGCCGGAGCACCACGAGGCCAGAGGCTGGGGCTCTTGAGCGCCCTGCGTCGGGCTTCGAGCATCGTGTTCGTGCGAAGCTGCGCGCGGGTGTCTGCCCGCGTCGTCGTCATGTGCGGCCAAAGGGGGGGGGGTCTTTCTGGGGGTGGCCAGGAGGGGTCAGGTCGGAGGGGGCCAATGCCGTCTCCAGTTCGAACGCCTCGCAGACGGGAAGGCAGGGGATGGAAGGGCGCCAACGTTACACCTACACCGGTTCTTGCCAGGCGCCGTCCTGTACCCAGTGTCGGTGTATACGCCCTCCTGTCAGGGACAGGACGGCCTACATACCAGTCCTGGGCCCAGGACGGGCCTGGCCAGGATCGGTGTAGGTGCAAAGTTGGCGGTCTCCGAGGGAAGGGTCCGCTCCAAAGGGGCCCGCGTCGAGGCCCTGGAGCCCCAGGCACGGATCAGGCGCGCGACGAGCCCTCCGCCCGCCCCTCGGACTCCACCTGCTCTTTATTCGTCCGTGCTGCACCGCCATGCTCCTGCTGCTGCTGCTCCTCCTCCTCCTCGACTTGGGCCGCGGAGTGGGTGTCGGCGAGCTCTCGTGACCCCCCGCCCCCCTGGCCTGATGCAGCCCAGAGCGCCCAGGAAGTCAGAGTGGCGCACGAAATAGGCGCACCCGTCGAGGTTCCGGAAATTGCTTGCGATCACGGCCCGCGCCAGCCGGTTGGGGGCGTCCACGTAGCCGCCGACGAAGAACGCTCGCCGCGCGCACCCGAACTGCCTCGCGAACGCGGAGGCCAGCAGGATGGACTGCTGCGTGACCATCTGCAGCGCGGCGCGGGCGAAGGAGCGGGCTCGTGAGACGACGGGCCCGAGCGCCACGGGCCCGGCCCCAGAAGGCGGGCCTCCGTGCCCGCCCGGGCCTTCGAGCGGCAGGGAGGGTCGGGCGGAGGGGCACGCCTTCGAGCCAACGCAAACGTCCGCTGAGCCGCCATCTTCGATCCCGGGTTACGCGTGGCGGGTCCTGTCGGCCGCCTGGGGGCCGCGGCGGAGTCGAACGATGAAGGATCGCGGCGTGAGGCACCAAAGGGCACATCGTCGCCAGCATTTGATCTTCTCAGGGAGCGCTGTGACCCAACTGGGGTCCTGGGGCCCTTGGGGAGAAAACAACACACAACACCATGCTGCACCCGCTGGCTGGCCAGTGGCCGGCGTCTCAGTTGCTGTGCCTCCTGCAGGTGGTTCAGCGGACGAGCTCTCCTTACACAACCCCCTCCTGCCCTCCGGGCATGGGTTTGCCCCTCGCTCCTGCACCCTCGCCAGCATGGAGGGGAGGGATTGGGGGGCCCCAAGATGGCCCCAGGTGGCCCAGCGTGGCCTCGGGTGTGTCGGGTCGGGCGAAAGGGGGGGATAGCAAAGGGGGGGTTTGAGAATCAGCTCACGTAGCTGATTTTCCCGGCGCCTCCCGGCGCCGGAGGCGGCTTGTGCATCGACGAATGGGCCCCTCGGTGAGGCCGAATCCAGCTGCATGCAGCAAATTTCCCCTGTGTGGCGCCGGATGGCCCGGGCTGCCGGCCCGAGTGTGGCGCCGGATGGCCCAGGCTGCCCAGATGGCCTCCAGCATGCCGCCGGAGGCCACGCAGGGGAGACGCCCGAGCCGGCTCCCTCGCTCTGCCTGCGGGGCCTCTTCACGGGAGGGGCTCGGGCCGCTGGGCCCCGTGGGGCGCTGGCGCCCGGAAGAGGCGATGGCGCCTGGAGGAGGGGGTTACCGCAGCGACTGGCTTGAATTCACACCCCTTGTCGCGGGTGCTCGAGCTTGTGGTTTCCGCCGCCGTAGGGTCCCAGGCCGACAGGGGGCCTCGGTGCGGGCCAATGGGTCCGGCGCCCCGAAGAAATCGGGACGGACATTCTTGCTCGTTTGCGCCCTCTCGGGGCCCGTGCAGGGCCCCGACACCTTCAAAAACACAACTCAGGATGAGACACCACTCCAAGGGAAAAGGGCGAGAGGTCGGTAGCCCGTGTCTCGCACAAATCTGGGCGCCGGACGTCTGGGACCGAGTCGGAGCGGGACAGGCTGGGAATCTCTGAGGCCCAAAAACTCCGCAAGATGTAACGGGCTCTGCGGCC